CACACACACACACACACACACACACACACACACACACACACACGCACAAAAAAAAAACCCATTATGTAACTCAGAGGTAAAATTAACATAAGAATACAAAAACAGAGCCAGTAGCTGAAACAGATTTCAGACATAAAATGCTTATTTTTAAAGAAATCAGTGAATTTCTGTGGAAAAATCTTTGTAAACAAAGTGAAATCATTTAAAAAGTATAAAAGTTATTAAAAAACATCATCTCCTAAAAGAGCTGAATGTTTATATGTGCAGCTAAAACAAAACAAAGTCTGCTGTAGCAGGTATTTAATAAAAAAAAAGAACAGTGATGTCATGTATAAAGTATAAAACCACAGAGTTGCTCTGTTCATTCAGACCGCACCAATATGGCGGAGGCGGAGTCAACCTGTTGAATTTCCAGGGATCGTGACGTCACTGCTTCCTGATTGGCGGAGCGGAGCTCTGCGTGTTTAAGTGGAGCAGCAGAGGCGGTGAGGAGCAGCAGTACCAGGCAGGAGTCCCGGCGGAGAGACAACAAACAAACAAATCAAACCAGGCTTCAAGAGAAACACCGAACCAGTCCAGGACCTGACCCGGATTATTGTTGGACCCAGGAACCGGAAAGGCTCGCGGCGCTGACACTAAAGCGCTAAATCACCGCTAATCTCCCGCTGAGCTCGGCGCAGTTTCGTTGTTTCGCAGCTACCTGAGAGAAGAGGACAGCCATGATCCGACTGCTCTGCCTCGTGCTGGTTCTGTCCGCCTCCGTCTCCTCAGAGTCGGTAAGTTGGTCCGGTTCGACTTCCCACAGCTTCGGGTTGAACTCGTAATGTCGGAGCCGGTCTTTGCTTGTCATCCTGCGGGCTTTATGTGGCCGCGGGTCCCGGACTGTCCCTGCCGACCACAGCCTGCTCCCATTATCCCGGAGCGGGGCCCAGGGCAGGGGGCGGCGGGCCGCCGGCGGGCGGGCGGGCACTACTCCAGAATCAACCGCTTCGCTCACTTTTTACATCAAAAACTGCTTTTATCACCGATCATTTGACCGGATGTCCCGCCACAGACAGGCTGCTGTTTGATTGTTAGATGATTAAAATAAAAGCAGTTTAATGTTTTAC